AATGTGGTATACTGTCAAATTAGTTTAAAAAAAAAAAAAAAAAAATCATTGCTACACAAGAATTGGAAGTAGAAGCACCCAGTGAGGAAAAGCCAAATCAACACCCAGCAGTTGCTACGTAGTCGCACGTTATGTGTGCCGACGTTTTTCCCCGCCTCTCCCTCCACTCTTCCTTCATGTTGGAGAACAGCATCTGTTTCAGCTCAACCACTGACCACGCATGTTGCGCGGGGACTCAGGGAAGATACGTTATGACTTCAACATACTTTTCCTGATAGTATATCAATCTTAGGGCCAGCGCAGCCATCCCTGGAATGCACATTCTGCAGAGCGTTTCCATTTTCTTTCCCCTGCTACTGCAAAAGAAAATAACATTGCTGCCAGTTTAGTCATCAGATCACATTTATCCCTGCTATAGCCTTAAGGATTTCATTGAATTTTGGATCAATGGGGTTTTGTGCCTGGATCCCACGGTGCTAATGAGTAGTGAGTTCCCTCACTCTCTTTTGCACATACACAGAGATTTAAAGTGATGCTGTTGGGCACAGCTCCAAGTACACCTGCTTCTTGTCTCATTCTGTCACTTGGCAAAAAATTAAAAAAGAAAAAAACAAACAAACAAAAAAAACCCCAAACACAAAAAACTAATGCAACAGTTTTCACATGGAAAATGGCAGCATTAAACACCGGTCTATTGTCCATTCTAAGGGAAGAGTATCACCAGCTAAATCACCAACAGCAGATGAAATAAAAATCAGTTTCTAGGTCACCACAGAGAAACAGATATTTCAGTTTCAAAAGTATGCAAGCTATCGAGGAGTCTTGTTTTTCAAGAAGCTTAGACTGTGGGCCCACCACAGGCTCATTTACAAAGCTCAAAACCATCAGGGTGATTAGGTGGTATGAGGGTGTCCACGGGCTGGACAGCATTTAGCAATGCTGAGTGTGAGGCACGTATGACATGGCATGACTACAACTATATGTAGCCTTGGAATTTAAAAAAAAAAAAAAAAAAGTCAAAAAAATAGATCTCAGTTTTCAGTGGGTTCAACAAATCAAGAAAAAGAGAATGAGTGACAATAACTATGGACACAACTTGCACAAGGGACTGTGACAACTTGTTGTTTTACATATATCATCCTTGTTAAACATATTCATGGATTTAATAGAGTATCGCTGTGGTAACCAATGAGGTGTTGGCACTGATACTGCTTTTTAATAAGACACATATATGTATACTGCATCGTCATAGTGAAAGCACTGAAGCCCTGGCCATATCCCAAACAGAAGTGCAAGCCCTACATGAAAGTTCCTGTCTGCCCTTCTCCATTTGTGTCATACGGGAGGGCACATACAGCCACAAGCCTCTTTCAGGTCTTCAAACTCCGGGAGATGGATCAAACTCACGAGAGATCCTAGTTACCTCGTTTCAGTAATATATGCCAGCATCTCCCAAAATTGCAATAAATCGCGGTGATAAAACCTACAATTTCAACCAGACTAACTCATTCCTTACTCCTGAAGGCACCCAGGACTGCAACCCACACATTCACTGGACAGCTGAAGATAAGAGCAAGTGACAATAAATAACAGAAATCTCTCTGCACCAAGAATTTACATAACTAGCTCCAGTTACTGCTAATTAGACTTAATTCCCTTAACTCCTCCATTATGTTTTCCTGCATTTTTCAGTTAGCTGTAGTAGCAAGATACATAACAAATTATTATTAAACAGAAACCTAACTGATCACATTACAAGTACTTAAAAGTACAGATTAAGCAGTGCACAACTATTTTATTCTAATAAAGACCTTACAACTAGCAACCTGGTGCACTGGATAAGGTACCTGAAGCTATTTCACTGTGCCCAATCTGCCCTCCAACTTCGGAGTTTTTGAAATACTTAGAATCTTTTCCCCTTTCTATTGCCATGGAAGAGACCTACACGAGTCAGAGAAACATCGATTACAGAGGAGAAATTGCGTAATTAATTTTGTATATTTGACAGCAACTTCAATTTTTTTCCTTCTATCTTTTTTCATCTATAGCAAGGATTTACTTTTTTTTTTTTAAAAGATGGATTGTATTTTAATAGAGCAATTGCCTTGAGTGCTTCCTACCTATCATATAATATACCAATAGCACTAAAGAAAGACTGTGTACAGAAAGTATTTCAACTATTTTAATCTGTCCTGTGAGAGGAGTCAGCAAATTGAAGTAAGGAGAAGACTGCAGTCATACGATCAGGTAGTGGTCCACAGACCTCCACGTGACATGGACGTCATTTTGAGAGTCAGTGAGCTGCAATACATTTAATCTTGCTGTTCCGGACTACTGCAAGCACGCTCCAGGTGGCTGAGAATTGAGAAGATCTCTTGAAATTACAAACGCTGCAGCAGCACGTTTATTTTTTATAGTGACTAGCAAACATTGACATTAGACAAGCAGGCACTGGTCAAATTGCCCAGGCTCTGTGAGGCTGTCATTCCATGCAACAAGAAGTTATCCTGCCTTATCCTGCCTTCAGAGGAAACAGGAATTCAGAGCAAGGGAAAAACTAGCAAAGCAGGTTGCCAACAGTGTGTTAGAGAAGTTTCTTTCAAAGCAGCATCCATTAACCCATCCCAGGCTTTCTCCCAAGGCTCTTGGGCACAACTCTCACACAAATGTGCGGGAGCAGGCTTCCGTCTCAGCCATTGGGACCAAGCCAGCTCTACTTTGGGCATCCCACAGCAAAACATCACACAACAGGTTGTTGCAAGTGTGTTGTACACAGTCAGTCACTTGAAAAAAGCAGCTCAGCAGCTTACACCATGAGAGCCCCTGTTTAAAAAGAAAGCAGCTATGTACATGCAGAGCTTGATTTGCCACGTGCAGAAATCCTTTACAACACTTGAAGAGGCAGCTGCCAAAAAGCAAATGCCAGTTGGCAGCATGGACAAGTTCCATCTGAAGCCATCCCATGTGCACGGTCTCTCCAACACAACTTCTGCAGCCTCTCCTGAAGAGGCTGGAAAACCAGAGGCTTTCCCCTCAGGGTAAGAAAGGGACATTCCCAAAAGCAGGGGCAGAGGGAGGGTGTCTGGAAAAAGTACAGAGCAAAGGAGATGGGAAAGGAGCATAGGAAGAAAGAAAGAAAGAGGGGTAAAAGAAACAAGGAACAAGAAGATGGAGCAAGACAGCAGACTTTTTTTATATTGATACCCTCTACCATAGTATCTGTCAGGGAAAATGAAAAACAAATACAAGTATCAAAGAGAACAAAAGCATTGAGAGAAACGTGGAGAGCGCAAAGGCCAGGAATAGCAGCTGCACCACTGTTGTGCTCAGGTTACTCCTCCTCAGCAGGTCCTAAACTTTAGAGGCAAGATGTTCAACCAAGCTTTTGGACAGCCCATTCTGGCCTGCCATATCAGAAGGAACCAGGGTCACCCAAGCTTTCCAATTGTGCTACTCATTTGGGGATGCAGGGGAAGAAATAAATGCAAACAAACAAACAACTTTAGAAGCTGTTCCCAACAGCCAGAAGAGTCTCCGTGCCAGAGCAGCTATCACTTACCCACTCTGAGAAGCCTTGACTTCCTTACCATTTTTGTGTCCCAGATGCCCACACGGAGAGGCAACATGACCAAACCCCCTCCCTTCCTTGTTAAAAACAAAACCAAAAACCCAACCATCCCCAAGTCAGACCAATCAGCCAGAACACCTGCAGGGCAGAAGCTCTCGAGTGGGTTGAACCATTTAAACTACAGGTAGAGGAAACAGACTCTGATCTGAGAAGTTACAGATCTCATGTAACGCCTATATGCCATCAATACTGATGCAGCAAGATTATTTAAAAAAAAAAAACAACAACAACAAACAAACAGCTCCTACTGAACTGATTAATGAGGGGCATTATGTGGGAATAAAACACTCCCTTTCCCAGGTTTCAGGAGTGCTGCATGGGGCCTGTTCAGGTGCCAACCATTAAATGATCAGAGAAGTGCAGCAGGTAATTCCTGATCTATTTAAGGAAAAACACCTTCTCCAAGGAGTAGGTAGTGCAGGGCGATTCATTATTACAAGTCTCCAAATTAAATCACACTGCGAGTGTTTTGTAGTTAAAACCAGAAGTCAGCAACAAAAGGCAAGCTGGGCAAGGGCTACCAGGGAGACTGTACAAAGGTCAAGGTTAAAAGAAAAAAAAAAAACCCACATTCTGGCACAGATCCATGGGGTGGCTGCTGAGTCACACCCCCTTAAACACTCTTACTAACTCAGTGCTGTTCCACAGGAATAGGGGCACCAAGCACTGGTCCCGTGCCAGAGTGTAGCCCCGAGTTACGGGAGAGCCCCTCCTTCCCCAACGAGGTGCGTAATGAACATGCCGAGAACAGCTGGACATGTCCGGAGAAAATCCTTCTGTTACTGCCTGAGCCCAGCTCTCACCGTTATATTCTTAGGCATAAAGCAGAAGTGGGCATCACCTCTACTTTCATATATGTACATAAATATCCATACACACAAACACACGTCTACATGTATGTATATCCACATGAAGAAATTATACATACAAACGTGTATATATAGATATATAGCAATATCACATAGTATGCTGCTCGCACTGCACTCACCTCACTTCAGACGTTGCTATATACATGCACATATTCCCCCTCTTCACATTCAAACTAGCATTACAGTTTGGCTTTCTCCATGGAGAAGCTGGGAAGGAGAGCATTGCCTACCAATATAATATTAGGATAGAAAGTCTCAGGACATAGACAGTCCTCAGATATTCTCCTCTTCCCAAGCAGGAGAAATGCACTTTTCGATTCCCTCCTCTTTCTTCCCTTAACCCTCCTTCCAGCTTCTCCTCTCCTCCCTCTCTCCAGTAGCACAAGAAAAATTACGGCACATTCCGGGATAAAAATGGCTAAAACAAAGTGAATGACTTGACATTTTACGGTAGGATCAGCTGCAAACTAAACCACAACGCAGCGGCAGGTAGCCAGCAGTACCTCCGAATGGCCCACATGGCTTTGCTGGGCACTAAAAGGCCACCGCTCCGCTGTTCCTCGGGTGACGCCGGGTGGCAGGAGCTCCAGGTGCCCCGGTGAGCAAAGCGATGCTTCCCGTTCTCCCGGCCGGCTGGAGGGACCTGCAGTGAGGCAGAGGGAGAAGCCACGGGCTGCCGGGCAGGTCTCTGGTGGATCCCCCCATTTCTCCTGATTACGCATGCAGAAAAAAGGGAAAAAAGAGGGGAAAGGGGAAGGAAAAGGATTTAAGGATTTTTATTTTTCAGGTTTACTTATCAAAAGGTTGAACATTATGAAAAGAGAACAACATGGTATCTAACTACAACAGATGACATTTTATTTAATCCAAAATACAAAGTCTTTGCGTGCTGGGAGGACAGGATTTATTAATTCCTAACTAGATCCAGAGGAAGAGACCCGACAGCAAGAGAAGATGAGCACTCCCATATCAAGCTGTTCTCTGGACCTCTGGTAAGATGGGAAGCACTGTGAGGAAGAACATGGTGCCATTCCTAATTTTTTGCTGCAGAAAATAATTGGCGTTCTGCCTTGTTTAAACAGAAAACAGATCTATACAGGTTGGAGGAAGGACCAGGAGGAGATGAGTTTCAGCAGCATGTAGAAGGCTGCTGGTTTTCTGCTGCCCCCTAAAAAAGTCAAATACAGTCATAAAATCCTGAGCACCACAGACAGACAGAAAAGTGCACAATACATGCAACCAGAGCAAATATGAAAATGCAGCACATCTGGACTACAGAGCTTCCTGCAAGCTAAGTAACTGCCACATCTGGGCAACTGGATGCCACTGAAGCAAAGAAATAACCTGAAAAAGCCACTGGAATGTGAACCTACGGGAAGGGGGAGATTGCGGGGAGGGGGAAGGAGGAAGGCACAGATCTTCCCCCGATTAATTAACATTTGTGTTACCTTTAGCCAGGCAGCTCCTGGAGCACGCCTGGCAGACTGTAAATGCAAGTGTTAACAAGCATGCCGGCTGTCAGTCCCCAGAAAACCCCTCGCTGGCTACTTGCCCACCAGTTCCACTGTTATGAATTACTGATCTGGTCAAAATAGAGGAAATCCTCTGTGGATCCATCGTACCTGCCCTCTGATTGCTATTGCTGCTAGAGGGGCCGGAGGGAGGGCAGGTGGGCCTGAAACGTGGTCCATGCCCCATTAGGACCTAGAGGAAGGGCTGAAACGGGAGGGAAGCCGGGACGCTCCTGAAAGAGGAGAGTCCCTCTTCTCCTCCCTGCACTTGCTGCTCTCCCATTGTGCCAGCTCTGGCACGCCCCAAACCCTTCTGGGAGCTGATTCAATTCACTACTGCAGAAACACAAATTCAGTGTCCTTTTTTACAACCTAGATACACTAGCTCACGCAGGGGTGTGACAGGCTCTAAAGCCTGTGGGGCAGCACCGGTGGGAACATGAGAAGCGATGGCAGGAGCAAGACCTGCCATTCTCAGTGGCAGTAAGCTCTTAGGTTCACTCGTCATAGATCTGCACCAGGTATGGTTTGGGAGAGACATGGATAAAAAACAACTCCTATCAAACAAAAGACTCCTGACTTTTAATGGAGTTACAGAATAGCATAATTATTTGTGACACTAAGTGGGTGAGGGATACAAACTTCAAAGTATTTCATTTTTTCTCCAGCGACTGCTGAGAGCTGCTAATTGTTCCAATCGTTCCAGAACTGGCTAGATATTTTCCCTCTTTTTCCATTCTGTAAGGACAGAAAGGATCAAACCTGATTTTACTACTAAACATCATATGGTATTTCTACAGCCATGACATTGTGACTGAATAATCAAGCATGCGAATGGAAGGAGTTAAGCCAGAGAAATTTTAAGATGTCGATCCTTCAGTCAGAACTCCCACGGAAAAAATAAATGTTAGTCTTGCCAGAGTGAACTAAGCATTTTAGAGATCAGTTCTGCACATCTGGTCTATCTACCCAGCAAAAGTTATCAGGCAGCAATAGAGTGACGACAAAAAAACCCCCAAAACTAAAAAAACAGAATGAAACCTCGGTGCCCTCCAAATTTGTCAAATATGTGCCATCTAATTCAGCGGGGCAAGTCCATCTCCCACAGTGCTGTATATAATAATATATATTTTGCACACACAGGTGGCAACACTTGAAAAGCACAACAAGCATAGCAAGTTACTTACAGTTTGAGTCCATTGCAGGAGAGGGAAAAGAAGTCATAAACCAAGCACACACCGAACACGGTGACTCCAGTTTCTTTCACCAGCATTGCACATGTCCCAAGGAATAAACTAAGCAGCAAAAAGAATGGGGAGGCAGTGGGAGGGAAATGTTCCCCAACATAAAGCTGATCCACGCTCCTGAAAAATAGATTTGACATAAATATTTTAACTTCTCTGTTATTTTCATGTTTACTACCTTCACACAAATACTGAGACACTTTTCCCTAATTTCTTAAGATGCTGGTAATAAGTGACATGAACAATCTACACTGTTCGCTGATAAACGAGGAAAGGTTTAGACACAGAACAGGAAGGGAAAACACAAATATTGAGAGGTGCAGCAAGAATTTGAGCAGAGGAGGGGAAAAAAGACAAGCAGAAAGATAAAGTGGACTTGAAACAGTCAGTGGAAGGCTGAGTAAGTACAAAGACAGAAAGGGCAGAAAAACACCTGCTTTCCGTCATCTAGAACACACATGCTTAATTCGCCTTATGTGACAAAATGCACTATGCAAGCAAAAATTCCTCCAACCCACCCACGCTCCCCTGAGTCAAAGATGTGTCCTAATCATTAACAGACTGGGCAGCAAGCCTGTATGAGAGGCAAGAAGGTAAGAAAGAACCAAAATCAAACAAGCCGACTCCTGCGGGGTCACAACCAGTTTTACGCCTTTGAAACCTCCTGATGAAAACAGCGCTGCAGATTTGTAGCAAACAGCCCGAGAGGGATATAAGCAGTTCTTCCACGCGGCATGACGACATGGTGCTATTCCTAAATGAAATAACAATGCAAAAGGGGCAGAAACCCCATCTGAGGAAAGCTATTTCTTTATCTATACTTGTTCAGTCACAGTTTCAGGACACAGACCAGCAAACGGTGCCAAGTTTTCATGTGAAAAGGAAGACTAACGGTCTAGACGCAATCCTTAACTCTCCCAGACCAGGTATTTGAGAGTCCCACAGTCACAGCATGCATTTCAAAGGCAGGCATGTGTCGGTCCGTTCTTCACTCTACATACAGACAATTTGCCTTCAGTTGAAAACATTTCTTTATAATTTTTAGCTCTACAAGCCCTCCTCTAGTGTCTGGTCAGCTGTAATGTCAACGGAAGAGGGGACCTTAAATGTTGACTTCTCTTTTTATGTTTATTCGTTCTCGTAAGCGTCACTTGTTCGGCACCGCGGCTGAAAGCTGGGGCCAGGGCACTTCCACGCAGCAGCGCTGGGGAAGCACCTCTGCCAACAACCACTGAAAACTGACAGGTTTCCCCTTTGTCTCCTCCTCAGACTAGAGCATCTCATGATATTATCACAACCGATAGCAAGGATCCATACCTATTATAGGAGAGAAAAGCCAACAGAAAGAGTAGACAGGCTAGGACATCCGCTCTGCCTACTATACCTGTAACCTAAAAGGAAAAGAGACAAGGTGTAAAAGCACAAATATAAAAAGGCACGCGCATTCAGCGACTGTTTCAGTGATCCATGCTAACTGCCACTATTTCAAGTGTTTTATCTTTCAGTGTTACCCTCCCTCAATATAGTGAAATGGTACTTGGTTAGCGTAGGATACGCTCAGTTTTGTCTGCTGCATTTCTCACTTGGCAAAACAAGTATGTAAGCCAACAGTTAAGTCATTCTTTACCGTCTTACTAAAATATTTATAAAGTTGCATAGAGAAATACCAGTTTTAGGGATCTGTTTTAATTTTGTATAATAAGGCTCAAATGAGAAATGCATCCAACTCCCAGAACTGAGATTTGTTAAAGAAAAAGACTAATGAAAGAGCAACTCTTTGGAGAAGACTTCTTATATAGGAATGAGTTAATAATTAATATTTGAATGAACTGTATCACCAAAAAGTGATAGAGGGTATGTAATTTATTCTCTTTCTGAATAATCTGAGTTTATGAGAGTTTTTTCTACATATTAATTAACCAAATATTTTTATAAGAAAGGGAATACTGAAGAAGAATGTCTAAACACTCTTTTTTACAAACTATTTCAATATTCCATTTCATAAAGATCTAAAAATTGCCCATAAAGCAAACAAAAGGCCCTTTGAAATTTCGCCTCTTTTGAGATTACATAATTAAGCTATATTCAGCGCTCTGGCATTTATTTCAACCTTTTTAAGTTCTGACCCAGACAAAAATAAATTCAAAGGGTGCCTCTCTTAAAACCTCCCTTATAATATAAAGCTGTATTATCAAAAGGAGCCTAGCTGATTAGTTCACACGAGACAGCACAGGGACTAACTGTAAAGCTTGTGGCTTTTGGTTATTAAGGTAGTCTCTCCTCAAAAGTTCTCAGCCGCAGCAGCCGTTTCCCTCGCTCATTTACAGAGGCTGGTAATGAGAGCGTGTGATGTCAATGGTATCTCAGCTAACGAGTGCATTTCTTTTTTTAAGTACGGATAGCTAGACATTGCATTTCCTTCCAAAGACACCAAGACTCATTTTATCTACAGAAGTACCTCACCATGCTAACAGACTGCAGTTTTAGGATGACTATGTCTTTAAATGTTTCCTTATAATGAACATAAAAATGTCCAATATGAGTTGTTGCTCTGTAAACTTACTATGACGTTTATTAAGCTAACAAGTTTTTTTCTGAAGATGATACTCCTAGCTTTTAATTGAAATCAATATTTATTAATCCACGGGTCATATCACCTCTATCTGAGTGATCTCCTCCAGAAGCCACACTAATGCTCCCTTCACTTTTTCTCCCTTAAATTGACGACCATAGGAGATGACTGAAGGCATGCAACAATGTCCCAGCAGGAGAGCGCAGCCTCACCGAGGTCTTTGGTTTTAGAAGACTCGAATTTTTCATCAGCTGAATGACTGTCCATTTATTCCCAGCATTGCTGATTAGGACTGTCAATTAGAATTTAGTGCTGGAGCACAAAGATGGCAAGTATGCATACACTTTTTTCTTAATGACTCCTGCAAATTATTTTAAATAAAGGTATACTCTCACCTTTGCTCCTCCACCGCAAAAATCACAAGTACCATATTCTGTATGACTCAGAGGTTTCTTTACAAAAAAAAAAAAAATTTTAAAGTATGCATTTATTTTTAGCTTTTGTGTCACCGGGTTTTTTTTTTTGTCACATACTTACAGCCTCGGTGTGAATGGGATGCACAGCAAAGAACAGTGCCGTGACAAAAGCAAGTCGACAGTCCTTGAACACAGCTTTGTCACAAGTGTACATCAGCACAAGAGTCACTAGACAGTGTAAAATTACATTCACTGCGTGGAAATAGAAGGGGTTCATACCAGCCAGCAATATGTTTAACCTGTAAGGAAACAAAACAGAACCATTACTAAACTGGAGAGGTCTTGTAATAGCAGGACATCTTTCAAATACTCTAAATTATGCTTTTTGCCTGATTTGCAGTCTTCTAATGTAAGTGCTATTAAGCTAATTAGTGAAAATAGCTCTGAACTTCTAGTTTATCTGATTAAAGAGAAACCACTTCCCCAATTTTTAAAATAAGCGGTTGCATTTGGCAACCTTCTTGACACCAAGATGGGAGAGGCTCGTGCCCTCCCAGTACAGTTTACGGCAGTGAGACGACGTCTGTGCTTCCTTAGCAGCAAGTGACACCGGCCAACATCAGAAGTATGGCCCTTGTCCTGTTTCCCTGTTGGCACCTTCTGTGGTTGTCTCAGCCACGTGGCAGCTGTACAATACAGGTAGTTATTTTCTACTACAGAATAGATGCTTTTGCTTGGGAACAGCCAAGACAAGGACTCGGTAAGGTGCTGGAGCATCTGCTTGGCATTACAGGTGCATTTATTCCCATTTAACTTCCAAAATACTTTCACATACTGAAGGTTAAGCATTTATTTAAATGCTTTACTGACATCAGGACTACACTAAGAAGCTGGTCTAATAGTTAGCATCATTTTTATAAGGACATTGACGGTAAAGGTAAGTTAGCTAACATCACCCTAGACTCAATGAGACAATTAGGGTTCATTATTTGTGTCGATCACAAAAAAAAAAAATAAATGTAACAAGCTGTTATGACATTTGTTTGACAGTGTGTATTAACACATTTTTCTGGTCACTGTTTTTTACAGCCAGCTTGCTTAACAGCTGCTGACAGGCTTTGCCTTACATGCAGTTGAAGATAACTCAATTCTCTTCAGAATTGACTGCATCTGTACATTTGGGCAAATATATACATACACACACACACATATATATACACACATACACATGGTGTCTCTATCTAGGGAAGACTCCATGTATGAACAAGGAATTTGGAAGCACTAATGTTAAAGGACATTTTTTTAAAAAAACGACAAGACACCCAGTGAAAAGAAGACTCAATCTAAATATTTTGCATGTAGCTGTAAACATGCTAAAGGGTCAGTAATCCTTTGTGTTGTTACTAACAGACTCCAGGTCTCCCACGACATACACGATGCAACAGCAAAGCCACTGAGTTGTTGCTACTATGCAAACACCTTAGGTTTTTTTGTAAGACAGAAGAGGTGCGGTGTGTCTGTGAGGGCATACATATACTTTTTATAAATACTCTCTACATTCCTTACTCATAAGCAACAGAGTGCTATCTGTCCTGGGTTGCATTTTCCAGGCCAATCTAAAATCTAACTTTACCAGACTAGGAGTCTTACTTGTGCATTCCTACTCTGCTCCCACTAGAGTGTTTGTGGAGGCAATAGCTGAAACCCAGAGTTTCAGTGAGAAAAGTGAGATTTTAGCATGACTTGACCTTTCCCTTTGAAGTATGGGTTGATGCAGCTACATTTTGACAAGACATCAGTCTGTGTGATTCAAGAATACATGAAGAGTTGGGGGCTTTTCTTTTTTTCTTTTTTCCCATTTCTCCTGCAAGCCACTTCAGGGCAGCGGCATACATCACTTTCCCTCATTTCTACCAGCACAGAATGACAAACCACAACAAATGTCAGTAACAAACACCCAGACGGAGTTTCAGCTGTAAATACGCTGCAGCAGCGGGAACCCCCAGGCCTAGATCTTGTTTTCAGCACGCTGCAGGGAACAAGGGGCTGCACCGGGCCACCCTGCCCCAAAGGAGCCCAAGTTCCCGCCCAGAGGCACCTGCAGATGTGTGCAACGGCAGGGACCACCTGCAGGACCCATTCTTTATACAAATGAATCATTTCTGGCTTTAAATGAGCCAGATGGAGCACAGTCATCACCATCGCTCCCCCCCAAATGCCAAAGTGTGCTCTGGCAACCTGATTTCTGGAGAAAGCAGATGCGGGCAGGTGAGGATGGTGAGGACAAGTGCTCAGGCTATCGGGTGATATGAACTCATGCACCAAAATGTGAGAGATTCTCATTTATTTATTTGTCCAAGATGCGACGATCAATGACTAAACACACAACATCTGACAACACTCTTGAAAAAAATCTTTCATTAGTCTCCATGATCATGTCTGGTCACTTCCCACCCTGAAAAATAGGTCTACTGGCAGGAGAGGCAGAACCTTGTAGGGAATGGATCACCTATCCCAAAGGCAGGGTGTGCTCTTCATGCCCCTTCTTGAGGCAAACATCAAGTCAAAAACGTTTGTAAACTGCAAATTACCTGATGTAAGTTACTGAAAACAGTTATGTAAAAGCATCAGCTTCACAGCTTGGCTATTCCCCTGTGTGCTCTTGGGGGTAAGGGGGGGGAGCGGAAGCAGAACAAAACACAAACACAACAGCACCATGGTATTCAGTAAGCCTTCCATTAAACAGCAAAATCTGACTGCCAGCATGCCTTGGTGTATGTTTTAAATACCATCTTTGGTGGTCCATGAACACTAAATGCGAATGTGTGCAGGTGCTATATTCACACCAGTGTTTTTTGCTGCTAAAGCTCTTTGTCATAAGAAATTAGGCCACATGGCAATGAAGGAAACATTCTTTTGTCCTAAAACAATCCCAGCAGAATGATTTTGAAACATTAGCAGTGGTTGAGTTTATTGTACGTCAAACGGGTGAGCAAATCTGGGGCTCCAAACAACTCTAATCCAAACCACGAGAACTTTGCAAAGCTCCCCAGCACGCTCATCCACCCATGGGGGAAAAAAGGCAGCCTACTATGGAAAGCCAAATTTGTTCCACCGTGGAGCAACTACGGAGCAAATTCTAGGCAAGGGAGCAGGAAGGTATGGGTAAATCAAAAATAATTTCTCCCTTTTAAACTTTAATACCCTTACAGAGATTCAGTCTTATCTTTGTTTACTGGCAGCAGCATTATCACAGAGTCGTGTAGTAATTACACACGGTATACAGCTCAGCAAACAAAGAAAGTAAAACAGAGACAGGAATCTCAAAATTAAGTAAGAAGTGGTGTTTCTCCAATATTATGTTAATGAACAGAAGCTCTGAGGCAATAACTGTACTCTGTTATGGGAGGGGAGGTTTGTCCTTATGTTTCCACATCTAAACTGGCTCACAAATGGGGAAAATCTTTCATTTTTTAAGTTGCAAGCCCAAAAGACACCAATACTACCATCATTTCTAATTTGCAGCATCGTGTGGGCTGGAAGACCCTAGTCACTTCTGCGTGAAGATTGTAACATCTGTCTGAGCTAAAGCGCAACTTGTAAGATACATGTTACAGCCCTGGCAGAGCACACAGCTAGGAGAGCAGATACTTTGCGCTGGCCAGGCTTTTTGAAATGACTGTTTGTCCAACCAGAAAGGTGTTGACAAATAGTACTCTAAAATTCAGGGCTGAATAAAGCAAGTGACCACGTTCCTAGGAATGGAGACACTTGAAAGAGGAGACACCACCATCTCAAACAAGGAGGTCTTTCCTCAGGGGAGCCGCCCACGAAACACTCAGAGAAGAAGAGTCTTGCACTGCATCAACACCTCTGCTGGAAAAGCCCTTGGAGGCAAAGAGTGTGCTAAGCCTCCTGAGAAGTGGTGAATGGCCTCAAAAGGCCCAGGGGAAAGGAGGGGAAGGAGCAGTCTCTTGATACTAGGTGACTTTGTCAGTTATCTTCTGGTAACTGATCAGCATCACCCAAGCCACCACCAAAATAAAAACTCATTACACAGATCCCATCATTGATCACATGCCCCATCAGAGTGGAGAAGGCCGCACTGTAACATGTATTCAAGAAAAGACTCTTGTTCCAACATCAGTCTTTGTGTCCAAGTGTTGCAGCGTGTGTGCTTTAGAGTGTCAGACCCAAGGCAGAGCATTGCCAAAAGTGCATGCCCAAGCAGGAGGTATACCAAAATAAGAGGCATATGCGCTAACACAGAAATCCCTTGACTTTGTGAAAGCTAATGGACGTTTTCCAGGAACAGCGGTGTAGTTTGCCTTACCACCTACAGCAGCTTTTCTGTGCCTCCACCATCTGCTCTAGGAAAAGGAATTACATAGCTCTGCTCTCAGAAAGAGACTTTCACAGGTACCAGCTGTTGAAGGTCCGCTGAGTGAAGCTTGTAAAAAAGCTCTCCAGAAGAAAGCAAATCACTCTTGCTCTTAAAAGAATGAGCAACATCTATCAGTCCCCCCGGTTAACCACTTGCCCTCCCTCCCCCTGGCACAGCCGCCTCATTTGAAGAATGGCATTTGTAGAGCAGGGACCATGCAACATGCTACCCTCAAGCCACGGGCGCTTACTCCTCCTCTAGATGAGTTGTCAGGCAGGGGCATACCTCCTTGGGTAAGCAATTCCCCATACAGAGGGCCTGGAAATCAAGTGGGATTTGGTGACTTCATCCTCGCAGACCCAGACCCAGAGGGGTCTATGCTGCAAGAGTACGGGCTCGCAGACAAATCCCATACATATCCAGTTACAGTATGTAATCACCAGCACCCCCGGGCTCTAATACAGTGCTGTTTATCCACTTGTACACACGAAGACTCATTCAACCTTTTTTAAGACCTCGTATGATTTAATAATATTGTAAATCATAATTGGAGAGTTTCTCTTTTTATAGACTTTGTTATTATCCCTGGGCAGCTCTTGTTTAGTTTAATCTGTTTTATTATTTTCAAAAGACTAACAAAAACCACAACATGTTATGAAATAGAAATGCGCAGGATAATAATGGTAATTGTTATAGCGAGTAACACTTAATGGAAAGTCTCAGAGCGTCCCACACCTCATAAAACCCCCACAGTTTTTATAGAGGAAGGCTCACATGCAGATTTATATAAATTAATCTAACATACAAGGATGAATTAAGTTTCCTGTGATCTTCCCTTCCTTTTGGAACTGTGATATAAATGACAAACTTTATGCAAACTAATGCCCGATTTCAGCGCACAGTGGAATCTCCTT